AGAGAGAGAGAGAGAGAGAGAGAGAGAGAGAGAGAGAGAGAGAGAGGTGGGAGAGAGAGAGAGAGTCCTTAAAACTTAATATTTTTGACATCTATTTGTATTCATTCACTAAATTATTGAATGAATACTTCTTTGATGTCTTTGTATATGTCTTTGCGCTTCAAAGTGGAGGAAGTTATCAAAGGGAGGGATAGTATGTCTCGAATAAAAAACACATCCAATATCTCAATACTCTTCAGTCAATGGGAAGGGGAATGAGGGGAACGACAGCTCTCTTAGCTCTCAATAATATATATTTTACTGAATAAAAGAGAAAATCATTTGATAATAGAGTGGATTAAGTAATGATTTATTAATGAGAAGAAAATATTTGGACATCAAATACAAACTTCAATATCATATACAAAATACAATATTAAAAGGCTTACAATTTAATAGCCATTAGGTATTAGATAACAGAATATGTGTTCATGTATTTAAACTCAGACTAAGATTTGAATTATAAATAAATAAAAACAAAAATTAATAAATTAGTGGTAAATAAGGATTATTATAAGGAAAACATATCCAAAACCGTTAATTCAGACCATTATTTATAAACTAATTTCCAGAGAAATACAATTATAATAATTAGATTTTAATTTAAGATATCTTTTATAAGCAGATGTTATGACAGATATTTCAGATCATCACTCAATGGGTTATCAAATCTTTAAGATTTATAAATGAATTCAAAAATTAAGTGTTTTTTCAAACGGTTTTTATTTTACAAAAATGGACTAAAAATGACTACAAATTTGGAAATGAATTCTCAGAGATATCTTCGGAGACCACCAGAGCTGAGGCCATGTCTTCACTCATCGTCGCCACCCTTTCGAGAGCGTCTTCGGCGGCGTCGACGGCCTCCACGACCGGATCGACTGCGAGATCGTCTTCCGCCGCGTCTTCGGCGACGTCTCCGACCGCACGACTCGTCGTCTCCGCCTTTGGATTTCCTTCTCCGGCGACGCCTCGACTCCTGAACCTCTCCTCCAGACCTCAGTCTCGGCAACAGTTCTGTCGTCTCTTCGGTTTCAACGGAATTCATGTTTCGATCGGACTTTTGATTCAATAATTTTGTTCAAGAATTCAAACGAATAAATGGTTTCGAAATGAATTCAAATTCAAAAGTAATCGCTATTTATAGACAAATGTCTCAAACAATACAATGAGTAAAACGCGCTGTGAATTGGTTTCGACACTAATTATACCAAACAATGGTTTAAATCATTGAAACCAACGCTTGATATGCAATGAATGCAACAAAAGTTTGGTTGCAATGAATGTCTCGCGAGAAACGTCTCAATAATACAAATAGGCTTTGAATTCATAGTGAAAACTGTATTCAGATTTTTGTAATAAAAGTGCAATTCATTAGACATTCACTCAAAGACTAACCAAATAAAAGTCAATTATAAGACACGTTAACTGATCCTCGAAGTGATAACAAGTGTCTCAGAAATGAGTGGAAGTGATGCGAGAGTTGAGCCATCGGTGGTGACAACGGATCCGATCGCTGAGACAACGGTTGAGACGTCAGGTATGGAGCAAACCATCAATGAAATGCTTCCCAACGAACTTCTGGCCATAATTGTGTCCAAATTGGACATCAAATCGCGACTAATGGCCGAAAGAGTGTGCACTCGATGGGGACAAGTGGTTGTCGGTGTCTTTGCGACCAAACATACCCTCACTATCCATGAGAGCGAAGCCGTCAGGCGTTGTGCGGCCGACGAGCTGTGCCAACACGAGGACTGCGTCCATCTCAAGGACTATTTGCCCGAAACGGCGAGCGATGAAGAGAAACGCCGAGCGATCGCACAGATTGTGGCCAACTATCGTCACATCCGGTGTCTGCGAGCAAACGTTGGACTCAACAAAGACGTGTTGACGGCTCTGTGCCGCCGGTGCGACGCCGATGTCCGCACTCTTGAGATAAACAACTTTAACAACGATAAGGTCGTCATCACTCGCGAGGAGATCCAGATGGTGGTCAACAAATGGCCGAATTTGGAGGAGTTTTGCATCCAATGCACTGATATAGAGATCAGCGATTCGGCCATTGGTTTGCTGTTGGAAGGGTTGCGAGCGCTCGAGCGGTTCACATTGCATGAGCCGATACGGCGTCGATATGAAGACCACGTGTGGAATCGCTTGAACGCCGACATCCGGAGCATCGAAACTTCTGGCCATCTCTTGAGCCCAACGGCTGTCGACCTGTTGGGCCGCAAACCTCTCACCCATTTGTACGAACTGGCGGTCACTTCATGTGATCCCAAATGTATGCCTATAATCGGCAAACATTTCCCGACATTAATACAACTATTGGTCGATTTGTCGGAAATCACTGAACCCCACCACTCGTTGACACCGGTATTCACGTCGATCTCACATCTGATCCGTTTGGAAAAGCTGTCGATCCACTGCGGGAATGGTTCCGCAAACGAGGGGGACATTCAGGAGCTGCGGTCGTGCCGTAAACTTCGTTCGCTGACACTATACTCACTACACATGAGCGCCAATTGTGTCCAATCGATCGTCAACTGCATACCTGGTCTCTCGGAGCTAACCCTCTCCCACTTCACTCACCCGTCGGGTGACGTGACGGCCGTTTTTGCGCCCATACGTAACGCCCGACACTTGCGGTCACTGTCTCTCGGCGGCGATCAACCGACCGACGCATTGGTTGAGTGGTTGGCCGTCAATTGTCCCCAAATCCATGTCATTGATGTCACATTTGCTGATAAAGTGACCACCGATGCGATGGTGAGGTGTGTGTCGGTCTGTCAACAAGACGTCGATCGATCGCTTACCGTTGGGTTTAATCGTAACCTGAAGACAGCTTTTAATGGTTTGATTCCCATAATTCCCAATAACCTGACTATTAATTACGGTTATTTACGGTACATCTAAGTTACATGTAATTTTATGAGGTCTTAAATTATTGTAAAATTTTTATAACATCTTTTATTTAATGTATTTTATTTGTGAATTTATTTTACTTTTGTTTAAATTTTTTGTAATTTAAAAATAGCTTTTATTTCAATTTAAATACTTTAATATCTAATGAATTTACTTTAATATAATTTTTTAACACATGTATTAACACAACACATATTCTGGTGTTTCTATTAAAAGATATTCTTATGTCTATTGTATTCGTTGAGTGAATTGTTGGATATATTTGTGGCACAAATAAAAAAACCAATTATAGCTCACAATCACTGCCAATGGCTTATAATAGCTCAGACACCAGAGGAACAGGTGATCCGATTATTAGACAAACAAAATTGTTGTATTTATTGTTTAGTTTTGTCAAACAATTAGTTAAACACAAGAATTAGTGTCCGATTATAGCCATGAAAATAAGGTACAGCACTTGTAACAGTATAGCTCTGGTTAACACACATACAGTACACATACCCGTCCCCTCCCATCCCATCGCAGTCCAAACCCACGGGAATCTGTAATATAAGCCGACAGGAGATACACGACAGCGAGAAATAGATTGTGTGAAATACTTATGAGATTTCATATTTGATTAAAAAGTTATGTTATTTTGTTGTTATTTGTTAAGTGTTTTCTCATTCATTATATTCTCACTGGACTCTCTCTCTCTCTCTCTCTCTCTCTCTCTCTCTCTCTCTCT